GGCTTAAAAAAAATTAATGATATATGGCCATATTTATAATTATAATTACGTGGTTATTCGTATAGGAGTGAAATTCTATTTTTTAATTGGATATTCATATTAATTATAATATGTGGTGTGTTGCTATAAGTAAAATTCTATTGTCAATAAAAAGATAAAAAAATTTCAAAAGAATTATAAATTATTTTATGTATACTTTTTTATCCTAAACAAATCTAACCAATCTAATCTAACGCGATATCTAATCTAATCCCAATAATACCTATTTGTCGCCTATGTGGCTCGACACTTGGCGAAAAATTGGAATGTCAAGTGTCGCTATCTCATGGCTTGGCTGCAAGACCGACTTTATTTATTAGTGACTAGTCTTATGCGCGGGCGATGCCCAAATTGTTGATAAAATTTCAAGATAAACTTTTTTTGCTTGAATGTTAAATACGATCCTACAATCCCTTTTGAAAATGTAGGATATTTAAACATACGATGTCATATCGCTTATTTAATTAAAATAATAGTGTACTTTTTGTAGTTTTATTGACTTGTAATTATTTTTATTGAACATAAATTATTTTTTACTAATTCTCTTTTATTTTTTAAATAAATTAAATATATTATAAATGGACCTTATTTTAAAGAACTTTTTAAAACGAATTTTATGATGGAAAAGCACCTAGTTATAAGATATTTATTAAAAGTTATGATTAATTTTGTATATATGAAATATTAGGAGTATATTGATAATAAAACTCTATACGATTTTTTTATCTTAAAAAACTATCCACAATTCGTTTACTTAGCATCATATGTGTCACAATAATACTTATTTGTTTTGTGCACGAGCGATGCCAAGAAAGTTGATAAAATTTTAATACAACATTTTTACTCGAATGTTAAATACGGTCAAATAATTCGTTCTGATAATGTAGGATATTTAGATATATGATATCATATGGCTTATGTTTATATAATAGTGTACTTTTTGTAGTTTTGTTTGTAAATAGATATCTATGTTATTATTGACTTGAAATTATTTTTATTGAACATGAATTATTTCTACTAATTCTCTAAAAATTTTTTAAAATAAATTAAATAACAATGCAATTTGTATGCTGCTAGCCACACCTTCTAGCGGACAAAGTAACCTCTATAAAACTGACCGAGTAACCCCTGTAATACTAACTGAGTAACCTCTAACACTAACTAAGTAACCCCTATCTATAACATTGATTGAGTAACCACTATAACATTGACCAAGTAACCCCTATAGCACTAACGAAGTAACTCTTGTAATAATATATAGTTGGTGACACGGTTTGGCCAGCTACGTATAAAAGTTTGTGATTAAATATATTATAAATGGATCTTATTTTAAAGAACTTTTTAAAACAAATTTGATGATGGAAATAGAATTGAGTTATAGGATATTTATTAAAAGTTATGATTAATTTTAGTATATATGAAAGGATTTTTTGTAAATTACCATCCAAAAAATTGTCCACTTTTGATATAACCACCCAAAAAAAATCTATTTTAAATTACCACCCATTAAATTAAAAAACGCTTAGATCACCAGCCATTTAGAATTTTCGGTGGAATTTCCGTCAGTGGGCCCCACTTTTTTTTTTTTTTCCTTTTTTTCCTTCTATTCTCTGGCTTTCTCACTCTCTCTCCCCGATTTTTTCACTTTCCTTCTTCCTACCTTCTTCCTTTCTTCTTCCCAACCACCACCACCATTGCTCCACCTTTCACACCACCTCTGGCAACCCTTAACCCCAGCACCACCACCGAAAATCGTTGCCCAAAACAGCCCCCTGCTTCATCTCGCAACATCCATCCTCACGCAAACAACCAACCCACCCATCTCCTCCAACCCGCACAGCCACACCAGCCACCGCAAGAAGCGCAAAAACAGCAGCAATTCCCTCCACATATCAGCTGTATAAAATTAACAACTTTTGCTCGAAATTTCAAAAAACCCCCCAATTCAATTAAAATAAGAACCCTAATTTAAGAAACCCCCAATCAATTGAAGCATGAACCCTAATTTCATAAAACCCCTAATCTCCTCGATTAATTGCGGATGGGAATGTCGATGGGGTGGGAAATTTGGCTGGGGTGGAAGATGTTGCAGATGGGAATGTTGGTGGGGTTCATAATTGCAGATGATGATGTTGGTAATGGTTCATAATTGCAGCCAAGCCATCTCAATTAAATTGCCGCCAAGCCAAATGGGTAAATTACCCAACTCAAAAACTATTATCCTACACAATACCAAATTGAAATAGACAACAATGGAAAGAACAAAATCATCACAGCCTCAAAATGATTAGTACTCCGTATAACATAAGGGGGCGTTTGGTAAACGCAGAAAAAAAGAAGGGAGTAGTAGTACTGTAGTATGGTTATTGTTGTTGTTGTTGATGATGATGATGATGGAATGGTGGTGGTGGTGGTGGTGGTTGGGAAGAAGAAAGAAAGAAGGTAGGAAGAAGAAGAGTGAAAAAATCGGGGAGAGAGAGTGAGAAAGCTAGAAAATAGAAGAAAAAAAAAGGAAAAAAAAAAGTGGGGCTCACTTACGGAAATTCCACCGGAAATTCTAAATGAGTGGTGATCTGAGCGTTTTTTTAATTTAATGGGTGGTAATTTAAAATAAATTATTTTTTGGGTGGTTATATCAAAAGTGGACAGTTTTTTGGGTGGTAATTTACAAAAAATCCTATATGAAATATTAATTTTAGCGAAAAACTGGAATGTCAAGTGTCGTTGTCTCGTGGCCTAGCTGCAAGACCGGCTTTATTTATTAGTGATATGATATGATATGATAGAAGTTTTTTTTTTTTAATATGTAGGATTTTACTACATTTGTTTTAGAAATTCTTATACGTGGCAAGGCACACGGTGTGGCAAATGCAACCACTATGTGGGTTAATTCGTTAGTGTCATAGGGGTAACTCGATCAGTGTTACAACCACAGGGATTACTTTGTCAGTGCTATAGGGATTACTCGGTCAATTTTATAGGGGTTACTTGGTAAGTATTATATGGGGTCACTCGGTTAGTGTTATAAGGGTAACTTTGTTATTTTACAAGCTATCACATGGTGTAATCACAAGACGCGTTGAATTTGTTTTTTTATTGTGTATTATAAAGAAAATAAATTTTATTGATAGATAAGTTAACAATAGTATAGTGCATCATCATCACTTGAATTTCTCTTTCAATAATTTAATTAGATTACTTTATTTGAATTTGTCTGCACAAATTTGAACATGAATATTTTGTTATTGTGTAATGAACTTGGATATGCCACAATTTTTCTAAACTAAATTGAAAATAATATAGACCTTTGATTTAATTTATATGAAATTATTTAACTTATAATTCGTACAAACTTACTAGGAAGGGCGTAGACTCTGAATTGAGTTGAACCGTAGAGTCCGTAGTTTTGTGTTTTTTCTATGTAGAATAGAGATCTATTGAATCCTCTTATCGAAAATTTAAAAAGAACTCCAACTATTGTTATCATATAGAGTCAATTCTTCTTAATCAGAGTACCAACTGCACATTTAAATGTTATGAACTCTGGATCATTTGTTTGAATCTATACTACCTTCATATATAAGTAAGTGAAAATTCTGATTTTTTTTTTTTTTTTTTCTATTTAATTGTTGGTAGCACCTTCTTTATGAGCATGTTTATGAACCTATTGGTATATTCTTCCTCTTCAGGAACCCACCTTACAAATGAGAACATATAGCTTGCCTTAAAAAAATAACTCATCTAAATCACAATAAAATCTTGCACTTATAACAAATACAAGAAACATGATTAAAGATGGTAACGGATGGATCCATATCCGACCCAGAAATATAACTCAACTTGTTAATAAGACAAATAATGGATTAACTCAGTTTATTTGTTAGATGAAGAAAACATTTGCGGGAGGCAAAACATGCATGGGTTTTCTCATAGAGTCATGGTGTGTGGTGAGATTTGACCCAGGAGAAATAAATCCTCTATTAAACCGGTCAACGAAAGATACAAATATGACAATTGAGATTGGACAGCATTTCTAGGCACATTAAATTTAAATGCTTGTCTTATTTTATATTATCAAATGTCTACAAAGCAACATGCCATGTATCACAATTATTTTTCTGATACAGAAAAAATACTCCATCGGTCCAAATTTAATGTATGCCAAGCCCCATTTTCTTCGTTGGATCTTTAAATTGTGATTAATTGTTGTGATCGACTCCATTTATGGGATTAAGACTTTGATTGATTGATTGAGATATAATGTGAAACCTTGAAAAAAAGAATTATTATTTTTAAATAAGGATGGGTTTTTGCCGGAAATAAAATGGGACAAATCATCAAATTTAATATAAGGGAAATTAGATAAGTGTACTAACTAAAATCGAAACATCATGACAAAGAGAATATCAATCAATTTATGTTGATTGTCTAATATAATCAAAATAAAGTATTCCGTCACTACTACATTTTTTATCTATTGCAACCCTCAAATCCGTTGCATTAGATGTCATAATCCGTGGCATTAGGCCTAATGCAACGGCCATGTACCGTGGCATCTGATGGCGTTGCAGTAAGTCTAATGCAACGGCATATGACATCTAATGCCAAGGCATCAATGATCCGTTGCATGATCAACACCTGATGCAACGGCAACATTATTGCCGTGGCATTAACTATAATACCTAATGTCACGGTTTCTTATACCTAATGCCACGGTTCCCTATACCCTAATGCCAATAATAATAATAATAATAATAATAATAATAATAATAATAATAATAATAATAATAATAATAATAATAATAATAATAATAATAATAATAATAATAATAATAATAATAATAATAATAATAATAATAATAATAATAATAATAATAATAATAATAATAATACAATTATAATCAAAAAAAAAAATTTAAAAAATCAGAATTTATTAATATAAATTAAAAGTTTGTACATTGTTATCTATAAGAAAAATTACAAAATTAAATTATCACTAGTTAAACTAAGAAAAAAACAATTAAAATATTAAAACTAAATCATTTTGTCCCCCAAACCATATTTTCAGCAATTGTTTGGGCTGCAAATATCATTTCTTTCTCCCACTCCTCCAATTTCTCAAGTAAAGCAATTCGGGAAGCACCTTCTTCAACTTCAGTATCCACCTATTTTACTAGTACTTGATGATGTTGAATGCTGCTGGAGCTCTTTGCAGCTCAGGGTTCAAAGTTTCCTTAATCGAGTCCAACTCCTGTCATAGCAATCGTTGTTGTGCTCAAGCAATTGTTTACACCTACATCATCCTAAATATAGGTCAGTTCGTTCTTTTCGTCGAAAACTAATTAGCTCATGAATATTATTAATTGCAAGCTATACCAGTAAAAAAAATAAAAAAATAAAAAAATAAAAAAAAAAAGACAAAAATCAGTGTAGTCAATTCCTTACAACCTGCATATATCAAATAAAACCCAAAAACCTTATAAAAACATAATCCAATTTCAAGAATTCAAAATCACAAAAAGATAAACATCCATCATTCCTCTTTTCTCATATATAATTCAAGCAGAAAAAAAGAAGTAAAAAATAAACTTGAAGTTCCGAAAGTTTATTCGTGTACCTGCACGCTGTTCAATAACCATATTATATACTTATGATAAGCATCATTAGAATAACAATAATCTTTCTTTAAGGAGGCTAAACATAATCATATACTTACAGGTTTTTTATTCTCTCTTAATCTGTCACTCCCTCTCTCAAATGACTTAGACAAGAGTGAGATATTATTCATATTTAATTAAAAACAATCGAACAACTGTATTATTTGCACACCCACCAGCCTAAGATCCAAACTCCAAAAGCCACCTTCTAGGAAGGGTTCTTTTAGAGCTTGAACCAGACAAAGGCTCCCTGACCTCAAAGGAAGGGAGCTACCCTCAAGGAAGGGCACCCATGTCCTGAGGGACGGTACAAAAACAACCACTCCAAAGTCCAAACACCAACAAAAACAAGCAAAACCAAAACAACCAAAGATACACCAACATGCCAATACAAAACAACAAAATAAAATATCAAAAAAAACCCAACAAAGCTGACAGCACTAACTGACAGAAGAGCACCAGCAGCAAGAAGAGCAGGCATAGGCAGCAGCTAGAGCAGTAGCAACAGCAAGAAGAACAGGCAGAGGCAGAATCTAGAGCAGTAGCAGCCCAGCAGCAAGAGCCACCCCAAAAGCAACACAAAGCAGGTGGCAGCAGCTCCCTACAGAAACAGACTCAAGGCAGCAGGAGAGCCCAGCAACACCACCATAGTACCCGCAACAAAAAATAGACTTACATAAGCTAATAAGAAAAGGGGCTTATGTAGGGTTTCAAGAGTTCAGAGACTCTTAAAACAGAAGGGTTTTCATGAATCATAACTCGTTTCCTACAACAAATTAAAGCATTTAGGCAACCTTTTATTAAATAGTAGCACAAATTGGGGCATCGCTGCTGTTTTCGATGAAACCCCCTATCTGAAGCTTTTCCTTACAAAATTTTCCTCAAAATATCTAATGCTTCAACCTATTTAAAAGGCAGAATACTTTGGATTCGTAAGTCCTTCCTTTAAAATACGTACATTTAATCCTTTAAGGCTCTGTGTTTTATTGCCTTTTTATTATTAAAAGACTAAACTAAAACATATCTACTGATTGAACTTATCAAAACTGATTTGCACAGATTAAACTAGTTTTCACTAATTAAATCTGATGCTTATTGGTTAAAAATGATGTTCTCTAAATTGATGAGTTGAGCACAGTTTACAGATAAGTATTGGATATTACAAGTTTACAACTAATTTAAATCGGATGTTTACAATGTTTACTTTGCCTTTTTATTATTCGATTTAAATTTGGCACTTTACAACTTAAAACTACCAAACATTGTAAAGTAGTTTTAAGTTTAAGAGAACAGGGCTTAGAATGAATATCACTACATCAGATGTTCATTACCTCACAAACATTATTTGGCAACATCCAACCAAAAACTAGCAGCAGCCAACCAAAAACAACAAGCTAAGGGGGAAAACATCAGGGCAGCAGGCAGGGGAGGGGGAAAGACAACAATAACTAACAGTAGGGCAACAGCCACTGTAGAGGCAGCGTCAATAATTGAACAACACACAAAACATCACAGTGACAATAGCTTAACAATCACCATAAATCGACCCTAACCGACCATCTACTGCCCCAAAAAACACCTCAACCCAATTAAATCCTAACCCAATACACAACAACAATAGATAAACAACAACAACAACTAACCACACGTATCAACAACCACAACATGCTGGATCAACAACAACTACTACTAACCACACTATAGCCTAAACAGCATAACACACATGCTGTTTCAACCACAACAACCATGATTAATTCTAAATAATAAATACCAACTCTGTCTTATTACTAATAGCCATATCATAATACAATAGCAACAACAATAACACATGAACAACAACAACAAAAGAACAACAGCAAATTGGAGAAATCCTCCAATAGGAATTTCTCATACTCTTATTGGAACAACAACAATTAGGGAGAGCAACTAGGAAGAGCAAATTGGAACAACAGCAATTAAGGAGAGCACATTGGAAGTACAACAACTTGGAACAACATAACTTTCTCATTCTCTTAATACTATAATTTTTTATGGAGAGCAAATTGGAATACAACAGGAATTTCATAATACATGAACCAACAACAACAAAAGAACAACAATTTCATAATTTCACAATTCGAACAGCAATTTCATAATACAACAACAACAACAAAAGAACAACAGCAACAACAATAACACCAACAATTATCCATCCTGCCAGTAACCTAGGTTACTGGTATACAAGCATGATTAATTCTTCCACCACCTAAACAGGACTCTAAAAAAAAAATTTGCATAAAATGAACTGAGTTAGGGTTTCATAGAAACAATTACCTACACCAAAATTAAGCCTGTTTAAGGAGCTCAGAGGGGGGACTCCAAGTTCACATCATCATCATTGCAAGTGATTTTGTAAGGAAGTGATGACCAGACCCAGAACCAAACCCTAATTCCTCGTTTGCGCCCAATTGTCTTTGCTGAAAAAAACAACATTATGAAATACAAGGCTCATTAATTTAACAAAATCCCATAAATGGCACAAAAAAATAATACTAATTACTAATTATTTTCTTGCCAATACACCACAAATCAATAAGAAAGTAATCATAATTCAAGATATTACAAAATGAAAGCTTCCTATTATCACAAATCAAGATAATCAGCACTCGAATTCAACATTGCAACTAATTTCGATCTATAAACCATCACTTACAGCAAAATCAACCCAAAATCTACCATTAATGCCGCATAAAAACATAATAAAACCCTAAAAACACGACAAAATGGAGCAAACAAGTAGCAATTTGAACAAAATTTCCACAAAATCTCGTCAATTAAATTAAACATAGTAATTGTATGAATTCACAAACAATGAAGAAAATTAAGGATCTAAAGTTTGAATTGGAAAGGAAATAAACCTTAAGCTGAGAAAGGAGACGAGTGGAGGTGTTGAAATCATTGCGAACAGAAGCAGCTTAATTTGAAACGTTCGAAGCTCTGGGAAATCTCAGTGAATTCAGGATCTATTGTTACTGAATTTGAAAATTTCTCTCTCCTCTTTTCTTCAGTTTAAATCTCCGGCAGCAGCAACAATTCCATCAACTGTAGACAGCAGCTCCGAGTACTCGAGGAAGCTGGGCTATGGCGAGCGAAAACATTGACGGTTTATCATTTGCCTAAATTATAACAGTGAACCTCCTCATTTGCGCCCAATTCGTCAACGGAGGTGGTTTTGGAGTGGTTCCGTGGTGGAACCCTAACCCTAACACCACCATGTGTGGTGTTTCACCCTCAAAAACAAAGCCCTTAGAATTTTTGAGTAATTGTCCTCTTAGAATTTGGAAGTAGTTATGGAGAATTGGGGAAAATATGAGAATGTGGAAAATGGAGAAAATGGGAAGTACAGAGTGAAAATTGGGGAATATGTTGTTCAAAAAAATTGGGCAAAAAAATAGAGGGAAGTACTCCGCGCGTTTCTAAATTTTTCATCATACAATACACTACCGTGGCAATAGCTCCTTTTTTTGTTAAAATAGCAAGGTTAATGCAACGGTTCTTTAGAGTCGTGGCAATAGCTCTACCTCTAAGAACATTAGTGTTAAATCCGTGGCAATAGCCTACTCTATTGCAACGGCAATTAAAATACCGTTGTATTAGCCTTTAATATGCCGTTGCATTTGGTCAAAAATATAGTAGTGCGTGGAAGTTATCAATGTATCATACTAAGAAATGTTTCGTACATAACAACACTACAAATTAGTCCGCAAGAAAAATGGGGCAAGATAATGATTTTTAGAGGATGATGGAATTATTTTCTCTGCTTTTTACAGTTGGCAAATATATTTACTAAGGCATGGAGAAATCAACAATTTGAGTTTCTCCATTGCTAGTTGGCATGTAATATGCATGCTCCAATTTGAGGAGGGAATTTTAAGTCTGTATTACTTCTTTTTGTTTCAAATTAAATGTCTCATTCAATGCAACATTTTGACTATAGATTATAAAAAATTGATATTTAAAAGCTACCTATACGTTGAGATGATTTTAACATGTATTCACATGAGTATTACTTTTTTTATAGATATAAATCACTAACGTAGCCCAAGTGAATTATGTGAATAAGGCAAAAAGTATATTACCAATTTAAAAAAAAAAAATATGATGGAACAAGTGAAGTAAAATTTACATAAACTACATCCCTGATTACCAATTAATATTACTCCATTTATCCCTATTTTTTGCTCCATTTGACTTTTCATAGTTTTTCAAGACGCTTGTTAAAACGTAAATATTTCCATTTCTGTAAGTGTAAAAATTATGAAAATTTGATATTAATAATTTATACAATAGATTAATCTAAAAGATAAAACATGACTATATTATGATTTAAAAATTAATAATTTATGGTCAAAGTTATTAAAAGTTGACCCAAATATTGATTATGGGGTAAAAAAAATAAGGATAAAGGAAATAAGAAAAAACACTAGTACTAATCTGGATTGATCGGCACATTTGTAAGATAAAGTTGACCCCATAAGTCTTTATAGGAAGCAAACTACTTCGTATGGTATTCTCTCTCTCCCTCCTTTAGAATCAAGCTAGCTAAGTTTATTTCTCAACCTCATTTTACAAATAACCAATTTTAGAGAGTTTTATTCCGTGCTGATAATTCTCTCTTCTATTTTTCGCCGTTTCTGACATTTTCGAGGCTGTTGATGTTATCTCTTTCTCCCTAATCTTTAGAGATTACGTCTTATCATCATAAAAAACAACTCATTCTTTTTCATTACCTCTTCAATGGCAACTCTAGTCGCACGACAAGGCCGCCATAGACAACTTTACGAGGACAATCGTCGTCTTGTTTCCGGGTATGTCATAGTTTTCGCATCAAATCAATTTGTTTCTTTATTACACCGAATTCGTAATTGCAAATATCTCTTTTTTATTCTCGATAAAAAGTTATTCCCTCACGATAACCATAGAACGAATGTTAGTTATTTCTGTTTTGACGGTGATTGTCATATTTATAAGACGCATTTAGAGATTCGTTAATGATGCGATCTAATTTTTGTTGGATTAGAGGGGCTAAATCTAGATTCTATATGTTTTAAAGTTGTAGATGGTTTTTTTTAACTGTTTATTTCCGTGTTCGCTTTTTGTTTACCGCGTAGTTTCGGTACGTTATTGTTGAATTAAACGTTGGTGAAGGACGATGCTCCTTCCTCGTCCCTTCTTTTTGCTTTGGGGGCAAATTGAGAGAGTTGACTTGTCATGATTAAAATAATGATAACACCTTTAATGATTGTAAGAGGGTAATTATCTGTCTATTCGAATGGGCTTCTTAAAATTGGAACGATAGATTCAACGTAATCTCTATACGCTATAATGACAATATGAATTGAGAAGAAACAATGATGATTACTCGTCCCAAAAAAAATTGATGTTGGAATATTATATTAGAAATGAAATAATTGAATAAGAAACACTGGTATTTCTTCACTCCAAAATAGCTAGTAGTCCATATATTCCCTATTAATTAGAGAAAGTTATGTGCTAGACAGTAGACATACACAATCATATATTCAAATGTCACAATCTAAATGGTTGGGATTAACACTCTAAAGAAAAGTAGTATTTAATTTGAGATAATTTTACTGTATACATCAATGATTAATGACAATAACAAGCATTCAAAATAGTGTTAGAATACTTTAGAGAAAATAAGTTACATGTATATTGTGAATAAAAACCTTGAGTTTTTAACTTTAATGGAAAAGAAAAATACAAACAAATATGAGATGAAAATAGATAGGAAAAAAAATATGTATACATGCAAATATGCAATATTGTAATTTTAAATTGGTCGACCAAGCCATTTATTCATAAAGTATTTTATATTTCTACCTAAAATTGCTGATCATCCTCAGAATATATTTTAATTTTCGATTCGTTTCGAAATACTCGTTATACTTTCTTATGCTTCTTTTCTCATTATTAATTGAAAAATATCCTAAAATTCCTATAATAGTATTATGAGACAAAGAATACATTTTTTCATTAGATAATTCATTAAGGGGAGTAAAAAGTAAATAGAAGTCCAAATCAATCAATATACTTATAGAGTTCATAGAAAAATAACGTTCATACTAATTTCTCATATTGTTATCCACATCAATTTTCTTTTCCTTTACTTCGTTATCTGCATGGACAATACTGAGTAGTTTATATAAAATGACTAGTCTCTTACTTTTAATTATAATTTGTAAAAGATAAGATTGATTATTTTAATTTAAAAAAAAACGGTGACTAATCTTCTTTGTCGTTTACTTTTGTTAAGAATTAAAACAGTGCAATCGATTGAAGATTAAAATATGTAACGGAAAAGTTTATGATGAGACAAAAGAAATTAAAAAAGAAAATATTACACTAAAGTTAATTTGCAATTCTCTTAAATAAATGAAAATCTAGAAACAAGGCAAACAACACACATTGACAATTTGTCCTTATCCTATGGTGTTGTCTTTTCCATAATAAAACTTTCATTATTGTTATTTATTTTGTTGGGAGTTTTCTGTGACACAATATGTACATTGGTGGTATTGTGGTCCCCTTTAATAACTCCTATTTGATAAGGATTCATCTCAAACCATACGCTCCTTTCGTGGTCTACTCTTTTCCACTAGCATTAGATATTGTGTGTGTGTTTTTAATTTTTGACATGGTCTTCATTGGTAACCTGTAGCTTTCCGTTGTTGATTGGGTCACTTGACTTATTCGTTTAGTTAGTTTGTTAGTTGTCCAATTTAGTTGTGTATGTACACAACACAGTCATGCGCGTAAACTCTTCAGCTTATCAAAACAAATTTCAAGGTTATTAAACGCTGTTAAAGTCCATACATGTGTAAATATAAGGTAAAAGTCAAGGCTATTAAGATTAACTTCATTTCACTAAGTTAAGGTGAAGATAACAAGCCATGCATTTGATTGAAAAGAATTGTTAATTGTTTAGGTGTTTATGTGCCAACGAAACACCATTGTAGCAAGGAAATAGTTGCTTCAACTAAATTTGCACTCAATTCTTAATCGAATTAAAACTTAACCAGCAGTAGCAGAACCACCTTAAAGCCCTGAATCTACTTACTATGAAAAAACAAACCCACTTAATAATGTTTGAATCCATTCAATAACAAACCATATATTACATGAATTTTTCATTAAAATTAGGTAAATATTTCATTAAAAAAAGCAGTATTTATATTTTCCAAATTATTATGGTAGGGAAAACTAAAACCTCAATAATAGTCACCAAAAATTTAGTTGAGAGGTTTGAAGAGTTGACAACAAGAGATTGATGAATCAAAGATTGATGTCGGAAATCATTAAATTTGTGCGTGGGAAAATAAAAACCTTGGGCAATGGGGCCGTTTACTTTAGCATATTGGTATTTGGTAGTACTGATTTCAGTATGAATTTGAATTTCACACCCTTTTGCATGTGCCTTAACGTGGCCTAGGATCCAATAATTTCCATTCGAATATCTTTTTTTTAATAGGATGTCTTAATCGGGCAGGTTTTCTTTTCTTTTTATTTTATTCTTTTCTGATTTTGTATGTCAAGAAATTAGTTAGGAAATTACCAGTAGAGAGACCATTAAATCAAGATGATACGAATCTTTCTTTAATTTATTTAGGTTGGAAGGATCTTTAATTTATTTAGGTTGGAAGGATCAAATTGAAGAGCTTATATATTATACTTCCTGCGTTTTTGTTATTATTGTGTGAGTGTGTACGCAATATATTAACTTTTGTTACTCGTTATGTATAATTGCGACTATTAATTAACACACACTCATGGAGCTCGAATTTCTCCTCACAAAGTCATAACAATGTAATCATACTAATTTTGTATAATTCGAATGTTAAAATTGATTTTTACTTATCGAGAGTTTTTATATATTCATTTACAATAACTTATCAGTTAGGATTTAATGGCTTCGAATAACATTGGTTTCTTTTATTGGTGTAACAGATGTATTCCTTATAGATTAAGAGACGGATGTGAAGATTGTGAATGTAACAAAGAAGATTCTTTAGAAGTTCTAATGGTATCATCACCAAATCGCCACGATCTTGTATTTCCAAAGGTATGCCTCCTCTGATATCCCTTTTGAGTAAGATAAAATCCCATTAAATGGAGAAAAAAAAAGGGATTGAACTTAAGTAAAGTACTTAAAGTGAGCTTATGTCTTATTGCTTGTTGTTTTGTGGTGTAGGGAGGATGGGAGAATGATGAGACTGTGCATGAAGCTGCATGCCGCGAAGCCTTTGAAGAAGCCGGAGTTAAAGGAAACCTAAATGTAAGGCTCTGCTTAATTCGCCTTACTCAGAAAGCGGCTCCCCTACATTATTTGAAAATGTTAATCCGTTTGTTAAAAAAGTAATTTTTAAGAGACTAATAAGGAGTACTAAATCAGTTTCCTTTCCACTACTTTGTAGATCTATAAAGCCTCTTCTTGCTGAGAGTGAGGGATAGGTTAAGTGGTTAGAGTTTCCCTCCCGATTTCAGGAGATCTTGGGATTGATTCTCACCCTCGCCCTTGTGACTCTCATGTAAAATAAAAATAAATAAAAATTAAAAAAAAAAAAAGGACTCTTCATGTTTTTGTATTTAAAGAAAAGGTCAATTATTATGTTTTACTCATAGGAGTGTATATCTAGCTGTGGTCGAAGATAATCACTTTGTGCTTAACTGCTTAACTACTCCTCAACTTACCTATACCTTCTGTAACTTGTTGCAGATGACGCAATTGGGTGTTTGGGAGTTTCGTAGCAAAAGCAGGCAAGCCATAAGCAGCATTGAAGGAGGGTGCAGGGGTTATATGTTCGCTTTGGAGGTTACTGAGGAATTCGAGACTTGGCCTGAACAAGAAAACCATGGTCGACAATGGGTAAGAATCTGATGTGTTTTTTTCAACTTCACCTTAGTCATTTCTACAATTACGTAAGACAATTTCTGTTCTAGTGCTCATCGTCTTCCTATTGATGTTTACAGTTGAACATAAGAGAGGCATTTCGACTCTGTCGCTATGAATGGATGAGGGAGGCATTAAGAGCGTTCCTCGAACTGATGGACACCGATAGGCAGCAGCCAAAGCCAACGAACAACCAGTTGGGTAGGGATCCCAATGTCACTCTTGCTGCAGCGTTAATGCCAGATCGCCAAGTTGCTAAGACTACACCTGCAAATCGACCTTTAAATTCAACTGCGGTTATTGCAATAGCATTTGCAATTGTAACACCGTGATTAGCTTCTCCAATTAATGTGTCATCAGGCATCTTTTATTGATTTCTTTGTGACTAGTTCCTTGGGAAGATAACAATAACTGTACAAAAGAAGGAACTAGATTTTGAAGGAATCATAGTGTTTCTTAGGGATGTTAAATCTTGGGAGGTAGGTGCACAAGATGTCAAATTTCTCATCCATATCACTGCCTTTCACGTCTTGTAGACGGGGAGAAAAAAACAAAGAAAAAATGTTTCTAAGTCATCATGTTACAAAATTTCGACTTTCTCAAACATAAATAGTTAGCCTTCAACTTGATGCATCTTACACTTCTTGGCATTTTAGAAAATTTCTGCCATAGCAATCTGTAATGCTTTCAGTCCTTGAACAGATAAAAATTCGCCAATAGTATACTCCGTATTCTTAATATGTATAAAGCATGAAATTTCGCACTAAAGCCAAACATATCTAAGCAACGGAATAGGAAGCACAGCCTTTAACTTCATTACTGCGATAGTCTACAATTTACAGTAGAAAAATCACTATAAGACCAAGTCAGTAAACACATGCCTATTAAAAATTGGATAAATAGAAAGCGAAAAAAATTCAACCTATTCATCCTTCATCTCTGTATGTAAATCAAGCTAATCAGGAACTTTCTAGCATGGAAATATTAAACAAAAATATCTACCACCTACAAAATTCTTCTGACCCCTTCATACTTCAAGGAGATATTCCTGGAATATGAGGAACAAGAGGTTTGGGTTCCTTAACTTTATCAACCAATATAGCTTGAGTTGTTAGAACAAGCCCTGCAATAGAGACAGCATATTGCAAGCCACATTTCGTGACACGGCTTGGGTCAATGATACCAGCATCAATGAGATCTTCGAATCGTCCAGCCATTGCATTATATCCAAATCGCCAATCAGAAGTACGTATCTTATCTACTACTACTTCCCCATCAACCCCAGCATTCTCCGATATAGATTTGGCAGGTGCAAGAAGTGCCTGAAATTTGTAATTAACCAACCACCTTTAGCAATGAATGGCTTTTTGGACTTTCTCACATCAAAACTAGTAACAAAAGACAGAAGACAGTCGTATGAAATATTAATGATAGAAATACCAAATATTACTTTCAGCAGAATTCTCAAGAAGACTAGTGAGCAAAACCAGAACAATATTTGACCTGAGTTTTTTTTTTTTTTTTTTTACTTCATGTTTTCACAAAATTATAATCAAGGTTAAATCAAAAGACACAGCCTGACTGGCATATCTACAAAATACCGCACCGACTGAAATTTACCAGCTAGTTGAAAGTTTATGTAAAAAGCTCAAAATCACGTGGGTCCAAGGGTTTTAAATCATTATAATATAGCTCTCAAAGTTGATGAATAGACAACTACATTAACACACACGGGCAACAAGAACTGCAGCCAACAACAGGAAAGTTTACTAATGTTGGGATTTTTAACAAAAGCAATTTTCATAGTCTGAGGCAATGTTCTAGGGTTACCAAACTCTCAGAAAGGAAAGTTATCTGGATACTTTCTTATTGCGGGGTTGATAAACAGCAATGGGAGTAGAAACACGATAACTTCCCAATAAAAACCCATGCCCTTGTCGATAACTTTCTTCTTTTACTCTACACCACAACCCTTCTCGATAACTTTCCCCTCGCATAATTCTCAACATTAAAACATTCAACATTTCATGCACATAATAACACAAGCAAGATCATTCATCATTTGCAAAGCACTGTCAATGTCACATGTTGACAGGCACAAATTCATAGGGAATTATTTTCCTGCCAAACAGCAGTGAGCCAGTGAAGATGCAGCTTCACAGCCATATAAGTAATCTCTAGCCCAAACTGTCTTCTAAGTTGAAAAGGTAAGCAATAGGTATGTTAAATTTACCAGCCTTACCATTAATTTACAGACTGTCCTGCATTTCTGTTCCCAATCTAAGCTACTTAATTTCTACACTCAACAACCCATTTGTCCCATAACGAGCCCTGCTGGAGAATATACCTCTCAAAGGTCTCAACTCAATGTCCTATTCAATTGCATCCAATATCCATAACGCTTGCTTCAACTCAGCTTTGTTTTAAGCCAATACCTCAAGTCCCAACCTCTTGCCTGACTCAACATATTTCATTCCAACCAACAAGAGACACTATGGGTGGTTCATGTATAACAAACCACAAAAAAATTCCACGCAAAGTACTTGTCTCATTTAAAACAATTACTTGCAAACAAAAACGTAAGCTCCCAATTTCTGCACCCAAAAGATAACTGCAAGTTTGAAGTTTTACACCAACATATGAAAGAAGCCCAACCTTGTTGTCACCTGGTCCATAAATCTAATAAAAGGAATGCCATCAGTTAAGAACCCCCTCTTAAAACGGTTAAGGGTAGAAGAAAACCAAAATCCATATATGGAATGTCTTCTCGAGTGATACCAATAGCATGAAGAATTTGCCTATCACTACTCCCCACAATATCCTCTAAATCCCTGCAAGCACATTTCCACACACCACATACACCCATTTATAGGAAGGAGATCATCAGCAGAAACTTAGATGTATCAGATTAACCTCTTACGACTAGGAATTATATTCAAAGTCACTACAGACAGCAGTAAGCTACTGAGGACATGCATACACAGCACAGAATAGACCGGCCCATAGTGTCTTGTATAACAAACCTCTTACGACTAGCAAATGCATCCTCTTGCCTTAGCTTGTGCTTCCCATGAAATTCCCCACATAATCGCCATATATATCCATAAGAAATGATGGAAAAGAAGCATGGTCCTACATGAGATGACAAGATGAACAAAAAATATAACGGACCTTATGATTAAATGTACACAAATCAACCCAGCATCATCCCCCATCCCCAGCCGGTAACGCTCAGCCTCCCCCACCCCGGCCCTCAACGCCCGCCTCCACCTCTTCTCTTTCCCCAAACCCCCAAAATTGGAGGTTCAGTTTTAATGGATTTTAGTTTTTTTTTTGGTTCTTTTGCAATTTTGTTGGAGCTTTTGATTTTGTATGGATTTATTTCGTGAAATTAATGAGTTAAAACCTTTGATAATGATTGATTATTGCCTTTGATTGTTTTTGTTGCAATTATTGTGATATTTTGGATGAAAAATCTCGAAACTTGAAGTTGTTTTGTCAATTTGTTGATATAATTTGTGGGAAAATTCGTTTAGAACTGCAAAAAATGAAAAAGATGCATTCTTATAGCTAGTTCAGTGATTGAAGAGAAAGTGTTGTTGAATGTCAGGGGACAATCACCCCAAATGCTTAACGTGCTGCTAGAATTTGAGTACTCGCAGTGTTTGATCCTTGGTTGCTTGATCTGTGTAGTGGTATTGGATTATGCTAAATGTTGCTTAATCGCCGGTGGTTCAACGGAGATTTGCCGAAGATGAGAGAGAATACAGTGATGAATCAAGATGAAGTTAAGGTTGAAATTGCTGGAGGAAGTAGTTTCGAACATTATTGAAGTAATAGTAGCAACAATGATGATTCTTCTGGTAATTGATGGAGGGGATGGGGCGACAGCATTGAGGGAATTGAGGGGAGGTTGGGGCAGGGGGAGGCTAGGCGTCGCCGGGTGGGGTCGTTGTCGGCAGGGGAGGGGTGGGACTGGTGGCTGGGAGAGGGGTTGGTTTTTTTTAAATAAAATATTTTTTAAAATTATTTAATTATTAAAAACTTAAAAAAACTAACCATGGTTAATTTTTTTTTATTAAAATGATGATTATATTTGGTAATCAATAATACAATGTTACCAAAGATAATGAAATTTTTGGCTTTTAACCAAAGATAAAAAAAAAATAAAAAATAAAAAAGAAAGTTGGGTATTACCAAAGAGAATTTCCCAAAAAAAAAAAAAAAAAAAAAAAAAAAAAAGCTCCTTCAAATTCCTAGAAGGCGCTTGTCATCTAAGACACAAGATCTACTTCAATTCCCTAAAGATGCTTTCAAAAAATGAATCTGTACACCATACTACACACGAGAAAAGCCCGTGATTGGCAAGGAGCTATTATATGTAAGAGCTTATCTGCCTAGTTGATGTCAGCTAATTTTTTCATTTTATATTTGAGGTTTCTCAATAACGATCATGTGAAGAGCTTCTATGATTTCTGGATATAAAAAGAATATAATGATGAAAAATGATTACATTAATAGATACAGGAAACTGTTAAAACAAGATCAAATTTACTGCAGATCCTGAATAGAATTCACAATTTCACACCAAACAAATAAATAAATATGCAACAAAATGATCAGTAAAAGAGGAAAATATCCACAGAGAAAGGTGATAAACAGGAGGTTATACTTGTAGAGCATTTTTAACTATATTAACAGGCTAACGTTAGTCAAAAAGACTGAAAGCGAGTAGCTGGAGCAATACCTTTCTTATTATGTCAGCTCCGATAAGTTCATCCATATCTTTCCAGGAAGATGTAATTGTGGTAATCTCTTCCGAAAGATGGACATAAGTTGCACCACCGCCAGGAACAATTCCTTCATCCATGGCAGCAAATGTGGCATTTTTTGCATCCTCAATTCTAAGCTTACGATCCTCAAGTTCTGTCTCAGTGTAAGCTCCAACCTGAATTTGACACAAATTACTTGATCATCAAAAATAATTCATTGTATAAACTAAATATTAGAGCTTCATAATACATCCAGGATAATACGATACATAGATATAATATGGTTTGCATCAATTTTAAGTATCCTATGCTACTACACTGGTATTGGAATGAAATGTCCAGACTGAACACGTTACATGCCAACTTCTGGCCTAAGAAAAATATTGAATATTTATTGGATAATTAACCTCGGTGAAAAATCAATATTGTTATACTAAATATTGCTTTTATAAATCAAACTTATTCACTTAAGAAAAATGATATGGAATTACAACATTATTTTCATAGAATATCTCAACCATGAAAAGAGAAAAAAATGCAATGATGTTTCAGTTTCCAAACAAACACTATTCAATAGAATTGCCACTTGATATATATTGTGAGCATGGAAAGCATTAAGCTTAAGTGACAATCAAACAAGACTTGCTCTGATTTTATTAAATACATGAAAAGCATTGAGGATAGTGATAAATGGAAAGCATTGAAGATAGTGATAAACAAGACTTGCTCTGAGTTTTGCAAATGACTAGGAATCTTGCCTTTTGGGCACTTAGTTATTCACATCTTGTCAAAAAAGCTTACCCATAATCGATGTAAGCCTCTTGTAGAGAAGGTCACAAGCAAAGCTCAACATTATCCTGCTAGCTTACTTTCCTATGCTGGAAGAGTTCAGTTGATAAAAGAGTGTTTCATATAGCATGCAAAATCTTTGATGCCAACTCTTTATTCTTTTTAAGAAGGTTCTTAAAGAGGCTGAGTGAGACAAATTGTTGACTTTTTTATGACTGGAGAAGTAACTGCTACTAGGAAAGCTTTTTTTGCTTGGGAGGTGTGTTATCCTAAGTCAGATGGTGGCTTAATGTCAAGAATCTGTATTAGTCAAACACAGCTTTTACAAAACCAATTTGAGCTTTAAGTTAAAACACAGAGAAACAATGGGTTTGATGGGTGCAGAACTATTAGATTGAGTCCACTCAGGGAGCCTCGACTCCAAGAAGATTCTGACAAGCAGGGACATCACAGATATGTGCTGAGGTCGGACTCTTTGGGACAAAATACAGAAAAAGTCAGGGATTTGCTTTACTGAAAAGTGCTGTGGAAGTTAATATTGTAGTGTTGTTTTCTGATTGATTAGCACTACAGGACTGATTAGCCAAAGCAAATAAATTTCAAAAAATGGAATGTGCAATATTCTGGTGAGTTACAATGCTACATGCACTTATGCTGCTAAAATTTCACAAAAAAAAAGATAAATAATTAAAAAAAATTAAATAAATAAATAAATAATAGACAAGTGCAAGAGTGTGTCTAGGAACAACAAATTCTTGTGGAGGATAGGTGGAATAAACTGCAATAACTTTACAAGATTATTCCTATGTAGTGCCTTTGTGTACAGAGTGAGGGGTCATTTTTCTATTATGCGAGTTTCTTGATGAGCTTGTGTCTGCAATATTTCAAAGCTGATCACATTGTATAATTGTTGAGCATTTTTTTTGACTAATTTTGTGCCTGTGGATTCAGACTTCAGAGTTGGTAACTGTTTTGAACGCACATGCTCATCTAAGAAAGGGACACTGGTTTTTGTTTTCTTGGCTACTTTTATCAGGGTTAGTCCTTAATATGTTTTACTGTTTCTTTTCACTTTAAATAAGACCAAAGCCCGTGAGGTGTTTCCTAGCAGGTAATGGGTTTTAATACAGATGCCATTGTTGTGTACTATCATTACTTGTTAGTTGTTACCTAACACAAGTCAAAAGTATCAATTAATTAGCACAACCCTAATGAATACACACTAACATCTACTTACCAACCTTAATTACTGCCACGCCACCAGAAAGCTTAGCAATTCTCTCAGCAAGCTTCCTGGAGAGATGAGAGCTCTCTGTTTCAGCTAAATCCTTCTTAATCTGCGAAATCCTTGCTCGAATTTCAGCTTTTGTGGAAGGGTCTGAAACAATAGTGGTGGAGTTATTTGTTATAGTCACTTTTCGAGCTACACCAAGTTGGTCAGAGGTAGCATCTCTTATGCTCAGACCCAGATCCCCTGACAAAAAATCACCACCTGAAACCAACATGACAAGAAATATTACTTCAGAAATAAGATTAAGCATTGATAAGAAGATACTGTTCCAAGAACAGTATTATATGTACAATTCTGCTTGCGTTATTATGCCCTGATACATATCAAATACAATAGAGTGGGAATTAAGGCTATGAACAATGGAGGATACTATTAATCATCTAGAATACTACATCGAAGTATTCAGGCTTCAGCATTAGAAATATAAATGCGTTTCCTCTCATCTAATCTCATTGCCATTCTCCAACTCAGATGTTGAATTGAATTGTACCCTACCTCTGGATTTCCATACTGGAGCCACAAAATTGTTAAAGAAATATAAATATAATCTAAGGTGGTCATGTAAGAGAAATTGACAGAACCTTTAAAAATCATACAAATGTGATGTGGACATGAATAGAATTGCTTGCAAACGTTAGGACTTAGGAATCACATTCAAAGACATTTCTACTCATCATTTACCGCAATGCCTAAATTATAGATTAAATGGAAATTATAAGAGGTCATTTAACAAGATTTGCCCAAACCATATATAATTACAGAGCCAAGTAACAAAATTAGCAATTTAATTTTTGTACTTATTGTTGGAACATGCTTTGTTGAGCTGAGTTATTTTCATCAAACCAAACTCAAACATGATTATTAAGGTCAAGGTGAGTTCTAGTTCGAGAATGGATTAGGTAAGATTTAATCAAGCCAAGCCCAGCAAAGTTAAGTTAGGTTTGGCTAGGTTCATGACCAGCCCTAATTACAATTAAGACGGTAGGTTTATGTACTTTTACCTGTCATGAGAGCAATATCTTGTAGCAAAGCTTTTTTGGCATCCCCAAACCCAGGACATTTGACAACAGCTGCTTTGACAAGTCCTTTGCTTTTATTTACAATCAGTGTTTCCAATACTTGATTTGAGATATCCTCAGCAATGATCAGTAACGGTACACTTAGTTGAGCAGCCTTTTCTAACAAGGGAACAATTTCTTGCAGTGTTGATATTTTTTGATCAGTTACCAGAACTTTTGCATTATCAAACTCTACTATAGATTTGTCCTGATTTGTAACAAAATGAGGTGACATATATCCCTTGTCAATCTGTGAAAAAAAGCAATTGATCATTAAGAAAGAACAATAACTGAAGTTAATAGAATTCAAAGATGTACATATCAAGACTCGAGATATAACTATCCTTCAACAGAAATAGCCCAATTAAAAATAAATGCCAAGAAAAGCAGCACTTAGTGAGAAACGTCGTACTTATTTTATACATTTGTAAACGATAGACATTTCTCACAAAACTAACAAGATCCCACATGACTATGTATTTTCCAACATATAAATCACAAAAGATGATTGAAGAGGAGCATGTGTGAACAGTGTAAACTTCCAACCATCTCATTTAAAAAATAATGGAAGAAGTATATTGCCAACAACACAATTTGGGTATGTTTGATTTATAGGTTTCAGTTCTTCTAGACAATCCAAGAATCTAGCTACAATGAAATATAAGATGCAAGAATTCATTCCAGAAGCCGGTTTAATTTGAAAAGTGGTTGCGCTCAATACACAAGTTCCATAGTTTTTCTTGCTTAAACAAGAGAAGATTTTCTTATTACTCCCTCCATTTTTTTAAGTACTCTTTGGGACTTTTTGCACAATTCATCTGACCTACTTTAATGTTAGTGATTTATACATTTATTATAAAAAAAAATAAATAAATAAATAAATAAAAAATAAAAAAAAAAAGTCTAGTTGGAATCTTCTCAATGAATACTTTATTAAAATTCAATTGTTATAAATTATACTTATTAAAAATAAAGATATAATTGGTCAAAGTCCAGTATCGACATACGTGCCCGGTCTAAATGGAACACATAAATAAAAACAGAGGGAGTGCCAGGAAATAGCCTATAACATTTAAGGCCATACGGGAACATGACAAAAGAACCATGACTTTTAGCTTTGGTACAGTGTACTTCATGAAGGCTCATGAGATCAAAAGGCTTACCAATATAGGTTGTAATAATTTTCGGTGTTCAATACAATAAATGTTTGAGTGAACAATCCCAAAACTTTAAAAACGATTTTTTTGGGTTCTTGAGTTGTTTTGTAGGCATGATATAGAGAAATGAATTTAACCTTTAAATTTTCAACATGATGCTAAATTTAAAGATATGAACTTTGATTAGGTATCAAAACCAACCAATCACAATTCCAGAACTAAGATAAATAATCTAACACCATACCACACCACACCACACTCCCCCCCCCCCCTTTTGTAAGTTAATATTTTCCTAAAATCAATCAATCCTTTCATCATTGACTTCATCACGTATATGCAGAGTTACACACACACTTCTAATTTCTTATATCATAAAAAACCCCTATTTACCACTTGATACAGCCCTAAAACGATAGATGTTTGACTGAGATTGATTTTGGAGCCTTTCTGGCAAATCAGGCCACAAGTAGCTCAATAGAACACATGTACCCATGTTGAGTTCCAGCTAACTGGTTGAAAGTCTGATCCCATGCCATCTTAGGAGCACAGAGGCCACTAAATTGGTGCTGATTTCTACTATTGTATTTTGCTCCCACTGAGACAAAAGAGCCCTTCACAGGAATGCTGACAGACATTAGTGCTGACTGCTAAGTTCTTTGTTGCCTCTCAAACCTTATTTAGAGCTCGAAATTTCTCCCAATTGACCCAAGAATCTAAGATCATCTCCAAAGCCAATCAAACCTTATTTTCCCAACACTCATTTGATCAAGGCACCTTAGAAATGTGCCAATAACATGCAGAAAGAAGGGAAAAAGAAACACAAATATGCCTCAAATTTTTAACCAAGAACGCAAGAATTTTTATTTTGTTCAATGTTCAAAATTGAGATGAACATTCCTACATCAAACATTCAAACCCTCTCTCGTAAACATACATTCCCTTAAATTTCTTAAGGCAGAAACCAAGTATGAGAACACTTCATTCATTAAGACTTTTAAACTTTTGAACTTTAGAACCTACTTGGAGAAAAGAAATATCCTTCAATCAACAAGCTCACTCTGTCCTAACGAACCAAATACTTCAATGATGAGACACCACGAGATCCCCACTTGACTTCTAAATCAAGCTCCATGTCAAGCTCCATCACTCCAAACATTCTTATATCTTTGATACACATACGAGGCAGGAGAAACATGATAGCCAATAAAGGTTGCCAATATAAAGATAACCAATATAGGTTGACCATCAACACAAGAGGATGCTATTCATCATATCACCCGTATTCAAGAAAAATGTTTAAATTCTCAATGCATTCAAGCATTCAGCCATGGAAGAAATTTATAATTCATGCATTGCAACACTTGCCCCAAATTTATGACATAAATCAAAGCATTCACACTCAACACAAGTTGCTTTAACAACATTCCTCACTAAATGAAGTTCAAAATAAATAAGAGACATCTGCCGGAGTACAATTAAGCTTGAGATGCATTGATCAAAGGTAGAGGAGTGGGCGAACTAGGGAGAAGTTAAGCGAAGATCAATAAGGTTTCTCTTTCTCTCCTTTAAACCTCCGCCACTTTTTGGTTTCATAATCTAGATATGCCAAGGATCAAACACAAATTTGTGTCCATGTTGTGTCACACTCAAATTATTTCTATGCCAACATAACAGGGCCTTAAGATCTAATTGAAAGTCAACCAACAATCAAGGAGGGGTAAAAGCAGCTTGATGTTTATGAGCATGGGTAAGATGAGGATTTTGGGAGAGCTGAGAAGAGCACACAAAGGGGAGGGTTTCAAGAGCTGGGAAAGAAATGGAGCAAATCTCCAATTCTCAACACAACTGTTCATGCAGTCGCAACAACATTCCCGTCTCCAAGATTTTTTTCTATGCATGTGACCCATGAACACACACAAAAAAGAGAGAGAGAAGAGACTGGTGCACCAACAGCCAGCTATCCAGCTTATCACTCCTTGCATGAAACTGGTGCACAGAACATTTATTTATTTTGGGCCATAAAATACAAAAAATGAAGCAGCACAGACCTTCATTCCTTCTTCCACAATTATGAAAGTTTCAGAAGTTGAGGATGACTCAATAGAGATAACACCATCAGCCCCAATCTTGGCAATGGCTTCAGCAAGAATGCTCCCAACAAAGTCATCATTTCCAGAAGAAATTGAAGCCACAGCTGCAGGCAACATGTATAAGTTAATATTAAAACATTTTCAAATTGTAAATATATATACGTAAAAACTTTGAAAACATTCACCTCGTATATCATCTCTCCCCTTGACAGGTATACTACGCTTCTTCAAAATTTTGACTAGTTCTTTAACAGTCTTTTCCATTCCTCTTCTTAAACCACTAGGGTTAGCACCAAATGTAATAGCTAACAACCCATATTTTATCATTTCTCGAGCTAAAATAATTGCTGTAGTTGTACCATCACCGGCTGCATCATTCACCTTAGATGCGACCTGTATGCACACTAAAATGCATGCCATATACTATTACCAGAACAGAAATAACTACAAAGCGTAAAGAATCAAACCAAGCAACTATCTATCACCTCTTGAATAAGCATTGCCCCTGCATTCTCAATTGAATCTGCAAGTTCTATAGCCTTTGCAATTGTAACACCATCATTAATTACTTTCAAACTTTTTGAATCCGAAAGAATCACATTACGCCCTGAAAAACATAGCATTAATTGGAAATCAAATTAACTTTATTTGGTATAATCTACAAATAGGCAGGATCAATTCATATTACAAGAAATCAAATTCGTTAATTGAGGCATATGATGATACCAGTTCACATGCTTCCTAGCTAGTCGTTTTTACTCCTTTAGACAATTTACAAAAGTTCCATCATCTAATCCCTTGAGCAAATCAAGGCGAATATGTGATGATCACTATGAATAAAGAATGATTTGAAAACCAATAATTAACAAAAGAAAAGCATAATGCCTATCTGACCAATTCTCCTTTTCTCACCAAGCCTTAGTTAACCCACTAGTCATTTTCTCCTTTCCTTCCACCACTCACATGCCAAACAGGCCTCTATGCTCGTGACACCAATATGTTCTTCATGGCCTCCTACATCAACCAATAAGATGTCCGTACTCAAATAACTCAATACATCACACCTAAGTAGAGAAATAGCATATTACAATCTAGGCAAGCTTGTAACAATTATAATCAAACAACACAATAGGAGATACCAAGAAAAGTGTCCCTCAATCTACTTATACTAATTCTAGATACCGGAGACTACATGATTACCAGAATTGAATATGCTACAAGATATGAATTCTCCCAAGGCTGTTACACTTATTAACAACACAACATGGTAACACGTTTTTGCTGAGCTAACAATATTAGTATTTGATATAAGAATGTCTAGTCTGTTAAGCTGAATTGTATTCACTACTTATGAACAAACATATTGCCCTCTACATATCCTAATGTCAACTATTAGGACATGGTTAACGATGCACGAGGCAACCCGCCAAATGCTGTACAATGTAACATTGGTCCCTCAAAAATAATAACCACCAGCTTTCACTTCTCATCTCATGAGCATAATGGCATCAAAACACAAACCCGAAAGAGTTAACAAGAAGCAAATTGATAACAAGACACGGAACCTAAGGTAATGTAATGTAAGTATACCTCTGGGTCCTAAAGTCACTGAAACAGCATCAGCAAGCTTATCGATACCGGTTTGTAGAGCCTCTCTACACTTCGTATCGAAAACAATCCTCTTCGGCCCAGCTCTTACAACGAAACTGTTTCTCAGACAACCGGCCCGTACCTGAGCCAGAGCAGGAGGGGCAGCCACTTTGGAACCAGGGAGAAAAGGTCCGGTGTTACACTTCCATCCTAACATTATAGAGTTGTATGCAAATTCCTGCAACACATTAGCAACAAAAATTGACTCAATTATCAAGTTAAGCTCCGAAATTCACATAAATTCTTTCCGCTTAAGAATATCAACAAAAATAGTTCGTTATAATGTTGCATAACTTCAGTAAAAACAACCAATGGTTCAGTAATCCACTTTAGAAGAACCCTAAATTTAATTATACTGAATTAAATTAACGATAAACCCTTTATAGGAAAATTGATATTCAAAGATTTCCAAAAAAATAAACGTAGAAGACATCTTACCTCAGAAGCTGCTTCAATGGTAGGGAGAAAGCTCAGAAGCTGCTTCAATGGAAGAGAGAAAGGGAGTGATAGATAGAGAGGTGCAAGCGCAACGTAACAGTAAGCTCAAACGAGGGAAGGTAGGTTTTTTTTTTTTTTTTTTTTTTAATACTTTGAAAAATTGGTTTTATTGAGTTGGGATTTTCACTATTCATGTGTTATCATTGAGATTATCCACTATTTATATGTTATCGCGGACTTTTTTTTTTTTTTTTTAATAAGCTAGAGTCGGGATTAATATGTTGTTAGATTTGTCATAATGTCTACTAATATAAATTAATTTTTTTTCATAATTTTACTAACCTCTAATTAAAGATATTAATAGAATTAAAAAGAACTTATTCTCTCCTCCTTCCTCACTCCAAAACCCTAGCCTTCATTGTTGAATTCGAAGTCTATCGGTTTTAACTGGTGAAAAGCCACAATCCTTGTTTCTTTAAAGTTTTTTTTAGGTTTATAATGATGCTTCCTCCTTTTGGGAGAAATTTTTCTCCCTCGAAATAAAGGGTTTTCGATCTCCTTCGAAAGACAAGGTTTATCTCCTCTTTTCGGGGGAGAAATTTCTTAGTTTTGAATCCATGATATTAGATCTAATGGATTGTCGTGAAATTATTTCGTTGATGAAAAAGTTATCAAATTTTCGAATACAGACATATGAATCAGAAGGAAAATATCCTCACAACTACAAAGGATCATTAGATTGTCTCTCCAACAAGGCTGTATTTTCCAGCGAAATAAGCGGGAGATGTTCCACAATGCAAGACTTGCTCGACAATCGTAGTTTTTATGAAGGAAAATTGTATTTGATTCAATATCTTATGTATTTGTTAACGTCGAATCTCTACTGTAGTCGTATGACTTTTAATTAACGAAATATTTTTGCTATTAAAAAAAATTAAAGATATTAATGGTCAAAGTTATGTGCAAATCTAACTTTAACTTTAAAAAAATAAAAAAAATAAAAAAAAAAAACAAAAACAAAAAACAGAGGGGGTACATGGTATTCATATGCATAGTATTGGCTCATTTGGTAAGGTTCTTACCTCATTACCTCATATCCTTGAGGTGTGGGGTTCGGAAATGGATTAAAAAACTGTGAGGGTTGGGGTTTGGGTTTCAAAAATAGATCAAAAAACTGTGAGGGTTTAGGTTTGATCGGGGTGATTCTACCAATTTTTTTTAAAAAAACAAAAACAAAAAATATTGTAAGATTTTATTTGGTCTTAGTGGGGGAGAGAATGTGTGTGTGTGTGAAATTTTGACTTTCAATTAAAAAAAAAAAAAAAAAAAACCACATGAAATTGTTTTTTAACATCATATAAAAAAGACAAAATTGGCCTCAATATCACCAACTATAGGTTGAGTGCAGAGAACAGCACAACCTTAGTCGGATGCACTCTACATTACAAACCATTAACTTTGGTGCTGAAAATGTCATAAATGATATTAGAGACCGAAAATTCTACCAAAAAAGCATATTTTTATAATTTTAATATTTTAAACCAATTTCACCCTTTTTAAAAAATTTCTTTTACTTATATAATTAACTAAATGTAAGCCCGTGCGATGTATGTTTTTTTTTTTTAAAATATTTATTTTGATCCATGGTTCTCTATAATATATTTATTTCTATTCTAATTTCTTTTAGATTAATCGAAGAAATAGATTTTCTTTTTACAAAGTATGACCGAGAACCCCTAACCCCTTTAATACTAACGAAGTAAATATAACATTAAATATTCGTAGTGTGTGTACGGTGAAAAATGAATGACCTTCCTCATATCTAACATATTTGTTTATTTGATGGATCACTGATTGTGCTCGAATATTCTAATCCGCTCTCTTGCAAAATTAGCATTTTGGCTTCTAATTATGATCGCCGTTCATTGCTTGTTTTATTTAGTGTAAAAGTTGTAGGCACTTGAGATAATACTTTACTTTCATAAAATTGTATAAATAATTGTGTTGGATTTACGTTAGATAAATCTATATAGGCTTGAAAATGCTGTTGAATTTAAAGTGGTGATAAACTTTTATCATGAATATGATGAACATTGTAATGTAGTACTTAATCTTTTTAGTCGAATAAATGATAAATGTTGAACAATTTTTTTGTTTGTGCAAGATAATGAGAAAGGATATTTTTTTTTTATTCTAAAGATTTATATATATATATATATATATATATATATATATATATATTTTGTCTAATCCAAAATTGAAATTTTTTTAGTGTTGAATTTTTTAATAAAAACACTTTTTGTTTTGATTGAACGTGATTTTTATTTTATAAGTTTAATATTTTTGTATTATTATTATTGTGATTAACTTTTTATCAAAAATGTATAATTTTTATTTTTTTAATATACAGTAAAATAAAATTCTCATAAAATTTTATTGAACTTTTGCATCAATCACTATTCGTTGTTTTTAAGATACGTGTAAATTGAATTTAAATTGTTAAATCTCATTTGCTAATTTTTCCAAATGAATTTTTTAATTCTAAAATAAAATGCAAATTTAATTTTTTCATTGGTCGAAATAATATCTTGCGGTACATGCATTTTTTTATTAAATCATTTTATATAATTTTTTTTTAAAATAATATAAATTTTAATATCTAAAGGTAATTTTTAGTTTTTTAAAAGAAAATAAGCTTTAGTTTTTTAAATAATTAAAATCTTCATAAATCACTATTCGTTAGTTTCACATACGTGACAAAATTCTTAAATCTCATTCGTCACTTTTGCTTAGGTGGCGAGTGAATTTTTTAATTCTAAAATAAAATACAAATCTAATTTTTGATTGGTCGAAATAATACCTTTTGCTTATGTGGCATGCTGAATGCTCTCGAAAAATGATTACTTTATTTATATATATATTAGATTTACTTTGCTAAGAACATGCCCCATTTATCATAATTCACTCATTATCCCCTAGTTAGTAAAATTTAATACTACTCCTTGATAACACCAAGGTAAACGAGGAAGAAGACGAAGATCAATCCTAAAATCCTAGGCAATCATTTGGCACAAGACATTCTTTAAACTGTACTTAGGTAAATTATGAAACTCAATTTCTACCTCTGTGCTTAAATACATGCATTTGGTTATTTTTCATTTTTTTTTCATAATTGTATGAAATAGGGCATTCTTTGGTGTTATGATGATTCATTGAAATTAGTGTGTTGTTTGGATGAATTTGTATAATTTGTGTTGTGAGATTTCAATTTATGACACTAGGAAACCTTTTGTTTTTTTTTTACCAAACATAATTCATTTATTGCAATTCATCATGAATTACAAAATAAGTTAAAGAAAAGTAATTAGGGAGCACGCGCGTGCTAGCCTTCTAGGTATCATAAAGTAATTAAATATGTTAGGAAAAATTAAATAAAGGTGAAAATTGGTTAAAAAATATTAAAATAAAAATACACTTTTCGATCTCATTTATGACATTTTCTGCACCACACTTAATAATTATGATGTAGAGTATACAAAATTAAGGTTGTGATATTCTCTGTACGCAGCCTATAGTTGGTGCTATTGAGGCCAATTTTGCCCATAAAACCCAGTTTTACTTTAACACCACAAAAAAGTTTAAAGATTGGATTTTACTATCACTTAACAATTCCATCCAAGAATCCGTTAGTGCGGCCCATAATATCTATGTGTCATCATGTTATTGGTAAAAAATAATAAAAACAATAATAAAAAAAATCCTAAAACTAACCCAGCCACCCTCTACCTTCACCACTGATTGTATAGGCGCCGCCCCTACCCCACCTCCGACACCCCCCTTCCCAGCCTAGCCACCGATTTTGTAATTAAAAAGGGATTAAATAATTGTATGTGTATCTCTTCGAATTACAAATAGCATGTAATACCCCTTTACTCACATCACACGCACACCACCACCGGTGACCGGCCGCCGCCGGCATAGACCGGCAACATCAGCAGCCGCTGGGAGGTGGCGCTGACCACTCTCCCTTCTTCTTCCCCTTTCGTGCACAAGTTTAAAAAAAAAACCTCTTCTTTTGTTTTAATCTTAATCTACTCCTGATTAAATTATTGTCTTTGGGTTTTGTGATGATTTTTATGATGTTTGATTATAATTATTATGTATATAATTTTCAGATTTAGTTTTTGAATTAAAAAGCCCCAAATTGAAAACCCTAGGTTTCTAAATTAATGATTTTTGATGGAATTTAATTGTAGATGATTAACATTATTGACATAGGTGTTTTAAAACACAATTACAACCATTTAACATGTTTTTACAAAGCTGGAATTTTTATATAAAGGTTAGAATTGTGTTTCTTGAAAGGATTTTTAAGTACCCATTAATTGGGAATATAAGTATGGGTTTTAAATTAATTTTCAGCTTATTTTAAAAGGTTTGTAAGTGATTTAAAGTGTATATATATTGCTGGAAATTTATATTGAGTAGGTATTAATGTCTCTTTGTAAATTTGGGTTGTAGGAGATTTCCAAGTGAGTGATTTCGTTTAGTCGTGGCGATTTTGAAATCATATTCAAGGTATATTCGTGTACTCGGTAATTATTCAAGTGTATAGAAGCATGCTAGGCTTTGTTTAATTAATTCCAAGGTAGTATCATGATAGGTATTGGTTGGAATTGTTGATTGGATTGATGTTGGTGATTGATTGGTGAAGTATGAATTATTTGTGATGAATTGGTGATTGGAATTAATTATATTGGCATGTTGAATATGACCCACACTTTTATTGTAGGCATGATTGAAGGCATGTTTAATTAAACTAAATGTTTAATTGAGTTTGGATTATTGAAAGGGAATTTTATTATGGTTCATATAATTTTTATTGATGCTATAAGCATGGGAAAAGAGCTATTTAATTAGTGTCTATGTACACGAGGATTAAATTATATTTTTGGTGCCTAAGTGCACTAAAGGTGTTTTCAACACCGAGGGATAGAATTTGTGGCGCATTATGCGTTTAAGGTGTTCTTAAACACCGAGATAGTTTTAAAAGGATTCAACATTAAATTTATGTGGTCACTAATTATTCAAGAATTAAATTGGTATGTTTGACTGCTTGAATGATTTATAACGATTGATTGTGTTATGATTTGAGAGTCATCACCAACTCTAAAAATATGTAAAAAACGTAAAGTGAAAGAGATTACGCACCAAAACTCTTAGAACGTATATACCTTGAGTATGAACATATGGGGGAGTTATGGAGTTTTATATTTAACCATAACTTCTAGTGGAGTACAGGACGCTATACATTCCTTTTTATTATGCGCAGGAATTCTCGCACTTACGAGTAGTTTTTTTTATACTGGCAGGGTTAGTTCCCGCGTTAGTACCCCTTTATTGGGGCAGGTTAGGGGGGAAACCCGTTCGATGCGTAATCATGCTAAATAACTTATCTAGCGATATAGTAGTTGGTCATGTTGTATGTTGTATGCTTGTAAACAGGTGCAACAAGGTAAGTTGTGTGTTAATAGGATTAAAGCATGTTAGTGTGTACTGTTTACGCTTATGTACTCAGCTTTGCTGATTGTGTATTGTATGTTTGTTTATCTTGGCCCTACAACGACCCATTTCTTATGGCGAGTAGTGGGGACAAAGTAAAGAGAAGCTTTTCAGGTGATGAAGCATAATCATGATGGGCATGAGTGAAGAGCGTATCATGCTTAATTTCCATACGAATATGATGTGGTTTATTGTTTTGACTAATATATATTTTGGTTGTGGAGCTAACGCAAAGGTTTTAAAGATTTGATTTGGTTTTAATAAGGGCCTACAATGGTTCCAAGTTGTAGGTTGACTCGTTTGATTTTGGTTTGACTTTACTTTCGCTTGGTTTAACTTTTTAAGTTGACTTGTTTTGATTGGTTTTAAAGATAGTCTTCCGCTGTGTGTCTTTGATAATTGCCTCAACCGTTTTTACGATAGCAGTAATGTATTAGATTTCCCTATTTCGTATTTTAAAAAGGGTAAAACAGGTATTTTAAAGGAAAGAAATTTCTAGGGTGTTACCAAGTGGTATCTGGGAGCTTAGGTTGAGATTTTTATTACCACTAAAGCCAAAAACGTATTTTAAAGTATTTTGTTTTAAACTTGGCCAAGTGTTTATTTAATCAACTTATTTTAAAAATGAGTTGTTTTATTTATTTTGATTTTAAGAGGACCAGATTTTTTTTTTAGGTCCGATTTTTTTTTTATTATTGGAAAATCCAAATTTTTTTAGGGAGACATCCGAATTTTTTTTTTAATTTTGGGTGTTCGAATTTTTTAGGTGGCCAAATATTTTGGCTTTTTACTAAATTTAATTTCGAAATTATTATTATTTTTTTTTATAAAAAGGAGGAGTTAAAAATATTTTTAGTTTGTTCATTTTGTAGGAAAGCAAGGATTAAGGTAAGAATTATGTGTTAAAAGCTTTAAAAGCATGTTGGTGAGCTTGGGTAGGAAAGAATTTGGGCATATAAGTTAGAAATAATTATGTTTTTTGTATGCATTAATATCTAGGTTGCGAGTGTTTGATTATGTGAATTTTATGTTTGGAAACATGTCATTATGTGACTAGAATTAAGCGAAATTGTTTGATTGAACATTAAACCTGATTCATACAAGAACTATATTATTTTATTTTCTTTGGGAATGGAATTCATTTTTAAGTCTTTTCCTTTATAGGATGCCGATTTTTCCTAGCAAATATTCCCAAATTGGTACTCTAATTAAGAAAGAAAATGAACATCCATTTGACTATGTCAAGAAAATTCGATTCTTCTATTCTCATATGAGCGATGTCCTAGGAGACAAGCATATATTATGATCTACCTGATTGTGTTTCAGCTATGATTATTCATTGTCTTCCAGATGAAGACCTATATCTTGCTGTCAAAGCAAAGTTTTCTAATTTTTACTTACAAAGGACATCCCAAACTACTCCAAATACAAAGATTACTATAGGCAGTGGTATCCTGATTATAGATACCTGATTTCTTACCTCGTCAGGGTTGATATTCAAGCAGGGAATGATTCCCCTTCCACTAGTCATCAATCAGGAAGTTCTTTTCCCGCTCAAGGTAATCAAGCAGGATCAGATGGAGGGCAGGAAGAAGGATAGATGATGGATGAGAGTAACCATACTATTGATAGTTCCATTATGGAGATTCCAAATCCAAATCCACCTCCAACTCCAATTGTAATTTGACAGGGTATAGTCGTATCACCTAATCAAAAGTAATTCCTAAAACCACAACTAAAATAGATAGGGAAGTAGGGTCAAATCCACAGAAAAACAATGTTCTTTTTTTTATTATTTTTTTTTATAGAATGTTCTTTTATTTATAATAAATTATTATAATCTAAATTATCAAGAAACGAGTATTTTTGTGAGAAATATACTACGGTAATAATTAAACTAAGGGAAACAATAAATAATAAAGGCCTAGGGTCACGTGTTCACCAATAATCAATATTGCGGGATAAACATAACAATCAACAATTAATATTGCACACATAACATGATTAACAGGCTCTCGCAATTTATTAATCAACATAGATCTAACAGGCTCTCGCAATTTACTAGATCTAAGTTTCGATTGAAAATAGCCTTTAATATCAAATTAACATCTGCTCGATTCATCAATTCAATATTGCTATACTTTTATAATCAAATTACATATGCTCGATTCATAATCTAATTGTAAAGAATTAAAATAATTCAATAAGAAATTATCATGCAATATCAATAATCAATAATAACAAATAATCCCTTCATATTAATTATGGATCCCCCAAGAACCCTAGAATTAAACTACTCGCATATAATTAAATCTATCTAAACTAATCAAAGCAATTAAACAAAACATAAACTAACAACAATATAATAATATAAACTAGCTAGTATGAAAACAGTAACAACAAAGACTAAAGAATAGCAAGAATAATATGAAGACCAAAGTAACAATACTGTAAACAACTAAAAATTACGAAAACAAAGTATCTGACAATTGAAAAACTAAACTAATTACTAAACTAAAACTAACAAAATAAAACAAAACTAAACTAAAAATAAATCTTGTAAAACTTACGTGCCCAATAAAGCCTAACCTCCTACAAGTATTTAAAGAGTTAAGATTATAATCCTAACCAACCTACTACTTCTAACCGCCTCCTTTAAAACAAGTTGGGCTTTTTGTAACAAGGCCCAATCTACCAAACACTTCCAACTAACAACGAGATTCTACCACGCGTGTTCGATTGGGCTAGGCTCTGCCCGATCGGGCCCGGTCAACATTGCAGCGAGCTGGGCCTTTTTAATCTTGGATTTGTAACTTGTGCTTTTATATTAATTGGCCCAATTTCCTTCTTCTTGATATTCAAGTATTGGACTTGTAATAAAATTAGTATTCCAAATGAATCGAGCCCTTAATCACCAAATTAAATTCCTTTGATTAGGCCTTGGGCTTCAAATATACGATCATAAAATACAACTCAACTCTAATATTTTTGTAGTAGCTCAATAAGGTCGGGAATTGTCATAAATATGCAAATTCCTACAAAATAATGTCAACTCTACAAAAACACTAGAATACGTATATTAGTAATAAAAATAGTTCCGTAGAGCTCAAATAAGCACAAATATGACCGTGGGACGGGGAATAAAAATACATATAAAATAGACTCATCATAATTGATATTTCATCTGATGATGAGGAAGATGAAGAGTTCATTCAAGTAGAGCTAAACCCAGAGACACCTGAACAAATGGAGGATGAAGATGACCTGGAATTTGATCCTGGAAGCTACAAACAATCAAAGGACAAGAAGGACAATGTTCGAAATGACTAGATTTTTGTAGTTTTTATTTTTTTTAGGATTCTTAGTTTCATTTTCTGCATTTCAATTATTACATTTTCAGTAAAGCAATAAGTGGCATGTCCATAGTGAGTCAATAAACCTATTGAGTTGCGTAGGTTATTCGAACTCATTTTATTTCATTACTCTATTCATTTTCCTACTCAGCAATCAAATGCTATTTAGTTTCTTGTCAAATAATTCATTTATTTGCCAATGAATTCATTTCGTTCTTAAATCATCCATTTCGTATCGCTACTTCAATTAGCCATTTCTTACTCCAATATATTCCAATAATTTATTTCTAAACTCCGGGAAATCATGGGAATTATTTTCTTTATTATTATGATGCTTTATTTAAATGTATGGTTGGTTAGCATTCAATATTTGATTGATCAAGCTGCAATTTTGGGAATTGTAATTTTGCAATCTCAATTTGTTAGCTTAAAATTTAAATGTGTATGTACGAAGGGTGTAAGTTAGTTAGATGGATGTCTAACTTGAGAGCTAACCAAGACCATAATTAATAAAGACTCTTTGTTTAATTCAGGCGAAGACAGATGGCAGGAGGAAGTGGTAAAAATAATGATGGAGGAGAACTAAGTGAGGTTGGGAGACAGTTGGCAGCGGTCGCCCAACAATTAGCTAGGAACTCAACCAATAATGGAGATGCTCAGGGAGAGCTATTCAAGAAGGTGGCACAAAGCAAGCCACCAACTTATCAAGGAGAGGTTGATCCAACAGTACTGGAAAACTGGTTAAGGGAGTTTGAGAGATTATTTGGGGCAGTAGGGTACCCAGAAGTTCGAAAGTGGGTTGTGCTACCTATTATCTCAGAGGTGAAACTGACCTTTGGTGGCAACAAAATGAAGCTACCATCAAAGCATTACCTTGGTTTAACTGGACTATGTTCCAAGAGAAGATTAGGGACAAGTTTTACCCTAGATTATTACGGAAACAGAAAGCTGAGGAATTTTCAAGCCTAGCAATGGGAGTGATGTCGATCACTGAGTACTATACAAAGTTTATCGAGCGGTCACAGTTTGCCCAAGAGTCTGTTTCTACAGAAAAGGCAAAAGCTAGGAAGTTTGAGACTGGATTGACTACTGATTTGCAACTAAAGCTGTGTGGACATGTGTTTGAAACCTTGGATGAGGTGTATGGTAGAGCTGCACACCTGTATGCGTTGGAGTTGAAGAATAAGAAAGAGTTAGGTGAGGTGGAAGGAAAGGAAAAGAGAAAAGAGAAAAGAGAAATTAGATGGGGCAAAGTACTGGAAACCCGCATGGTAACCAAAATAATTTCAAGAAGCAAAAGTACCACCATGAAAGAATAAAAGGGAAGGACATCACATGGAGATCCTAATCTTAAAAAGAAGGGGGGGGGGGGGATATGGCGAAATCGATAGACGCTACGGACTTAATTGGCTTGAGCCTTAGTATGGAGACCTACTAAGTGAAAACTTTCAAATTCAGAGAAACCCTGGAATTAATAAAAATGGGTAATCCTAAGCCAACTCCTTTTGTCAAAAGCAAAAAATAAAGATTCAGAAAGCAACAATAAAAAAAGGATAGGTGCAGAGACTCAAAGGAAGTTGTTCTAACAAATGGGGTTGACTGTGCTGTGTTGTTCTAAGAATTCTTCCATCGAACCCCCACTCCAAAAAGGTTGAAGAATATACAACAACAACAACTTCAACAAAAATAATTTCCAAGGCAATAATCGTCAAGGTGGACGAAACTTCAATGGAGGGAATAGGAACTCAAACCAAGGAAATAATAAGGATGAAAGGCATTATTTCTGTAAGAGGTGCATAAATAATCACCCTGGTAAGGATTGTGAGGGTAATTTGGTTACTTGTCGTGCTTGCAACAAGCTAGGGCACAGGGAGTATGAGTGCTTTTCCAAAAATCCTAATCGCAACAAGCAGGGCAACAATCAAAGAGGGGCTCAAAGGAACTTTCAGGGAAATTACAACTATTCAGGAAACAAAAGGGCACAACAGAATGGAGCGAAGGGCAATAACAATGGGAATTATCAGGTGAAGAGTGGAGCTCCAGGCAAGTTGAATGTGATGAGTAGACATAAGGCCGATTCCACGAAAGATGTTATCACTGGTACCTTTTCTATTAACTCTATTCTTGTTAAAGTTTTGTTTGATTCTGGTGCAACTTTTTCTTTCATTTCAAAGGTCATTGTTTCAAATCTATCCCACTGTTTGAACACGGGAGGGGTAGTGCAGTGTACTAAAACCTTTAGGGATGTGCCATTAAAAATCAAGGGAAAAGTGTTTCTGTCTGACCTCATCGAGTTTGGGTTAAGCGACTTCGATATCATTCTGGGAATGGATTGGTTAAGCAAGTACAGTGCATAGATTAGTTGCCGATCACAGAAGGTAAAGATGATTACAACTGAGAATGAGTTGGTGACATACTAGAAGCATGGTGAGGCAAAGTGCCCAAAGATCATATCTGTGTTGTTGAAGTTGGGAAAGTACATTAAGAAAGGGCATCCAGTATATTTTTGTAGTATGAGGAACTTAAAGCATGAAGAGGCAGCTAAGCCTGAGGATATAGATGTGGTGAATGAATTTCTGGATGTGTTTCCAGAAGAGATTCCTGGAATGCCACCTAAGAGGGAAATTGACTTCACAATAGAGTTAGTCCTAGGAACATCACCAATTTCTAAAGCACCATATCGAATGACACCTGTAGAGATGAGCGAGTTAAAGGAGCAATTACAGAATTTATTGGAAAAGGGTACATTAGACCAAGTGCATCGCCTTGGGGAGCGCCATTGTTGTTTGTTAAGAAAAAGGATGGAAGTATGAGGTTATGTATTGACTACAGGGAGTTGAATAAGGTCACTATAAAGAACAAGTACCCATTACCAAGAATCAATGACCTATTCGACCAATTGAGAGGCGCATCTGTGTTTTCTAAGATTGGTTTAAGGTCTGGATACCATCAGTTGAGGATCGCAGACGAAGACATTCCCGAGACTGCATTTAGAACAAGAATGGACATTACGAGTTCACAATAATACCATTTGGATTGACGAATGCTCCAGCAATCTTTATGGACTTGATGAATAGGGTATTCCATCCATTTATGGGCAAGTTTGTCGTAGTGTTCATAAATGATATACTGGTGTATTCAAAGAATAAAGAGGAACATGTAGAACATTTGCGGGCAATTCTACAAACCTTAAGGGAGAACAAACTTTATGCGAAGTTTTCTAAAAGTGAGTTTTGGTTGGAGAAGGTAGCATTTCTGGGTCATTTGGGTTCCAAGGATGGAGTAGAAGTAGATCCAGCAAAGATTGAGGCGGTGAAAGGATGGCCTACACCAAAGACTGTGTCTGATATTACAAGTTATAAACCACCCAAATAACCAAAAAAAAAATAAAAAAAATCCAAAGAGACTCTAAAACAAGTAAAATTAGTCATCAGACCCGTTTGTGCCCACCTCAAACTGCTTGCAGTCACAAGCCTCGATCAACCTTTGACTCCACTCTATCACCAATAGGCAAGAGTGCACATCAGACTTGTCTCCAGCTTGTGTTGCTCCATGCTTAGGAGCCCTTTCCACACTTAGCTAGCGCCCTCATCGCCAATAGACAAGGGTGTGCACGCACACGGATCTGGTGTCAAAACACTCGTACTACGAGTTACAACTCACAGTCACACCAAATTTTAACAATCTATTTCCCTACACTATTTTCTTTTAATTACTCTTTAGGTTTTTTGGATCAAGCGAGTCCATGGATCAGGTCAAATAGGATTTGGGTCTGTAATTGTTAGAGCATACAAACCTAGACCTGTTGGGTCTAAATTCTTTGGATCCAAACCCAAAAAGATGGATCAAGTCTAATCAGGTCTAGATCAAGTCTTGCACCTATTGCCATTCCTACTCTAAAGTCTAAAGAGAAAAATTAGTGCAAATTGCGTAGATGCATACCTCATTTTACCAGACATTCAATCACCCAAATTTTTAAGGGAATAAAGAATAAATGGAGGGAGCTTTTTGAGACAGAAGCTGGACTTTATAAGCTTTAGCTTATTTTTAAACTTTCAGCTTCAGGAACAACAAAATGACAAGCAAACAGCTATTTAGGCAAACAGCCTCCAAATCATGGTGCAAGCTAAAGATGAGAGCAAGCTTATTATAGCAAAGAAGGCATACACAAGAACTGCATATCTGCCTAATGGAATTTATCTAGTAACACAAATCCGTAGTTTTTTAATTTAATTAGCTGCGTCTTTTAGCTAGTATAAACATACAATACTTTGGTTTATGCATAGATTGTGATAAATTGTTATCAGTTACAGCAGGTGAAAGTTGAACAGGTCTTTATTCCAAATTACGTCGAATTTGAGGCAGTCTAATAGCAAATAATTAGAACTAATGTATTTTTTCAGGTTAGTTTAACATACATACGTGTATGATGGTTACATTTTACCAAATTCTGTCCTTGTTCTTTTAATAAGTCAATAAGGGAACAAAGTCATTTTTTCTATTATTTAGCCTACAACCGAGTTTCAAGGATCCAAGATAGGCAATTACGGTGAAATGAAGAATCATAGTAACATACACACCAGACTTTAGATATGGGGACATCAATCCAGAATTCATTATTAGTCTCACTTGAATTTAATTGTAAGTAGGGAACTTGTATGCTTTAGTGTGGATAAAAAGTTAAGGACTGTAGTTAGCTTAAAACTGAGAATAGATGCTCCCTTTAATAGTTACAATGACTTGTGAATTAAGCTTACCAGATTGAGGGAGTCAGCAAAGTCATTGAGCTCCAGCTATTGCTGTCATCTCGTCCAAAAATAAATGAGTTTCCAATGCTTGGTCCATGCCTATGAGGCTATGACTTGAAGGCCTAGGACGGCTGGATGCTCGTTGCAAAAAGGAAGACTACATTTCCAAAAGCAAAGTATCAAAAATGATCAGCTGCACAAACAGGGTGTTATAATTTAGCAGGGAAAATGAAGTTCATTCAAAGCATTCTGAACATTGTAATTAGAGGGTCTGACTGCTTATTTCCAAACCCAGCAGATTATATCAATTTTTATTATTCTTACCTTTGAAGAGTCACTGCTGCTCCCTTTATTGATTAGAGATTCAAAAATTGCTAGAAACAGGTAATAGAAAAGACAACGAGAATGACAGCGGACAAATACTCATGTGTTGCCTTGGACCCATTGCCATCCCTACTGTATAGAGAAAAAAAAATTAATACTAAATTGCATATACGCATATTCCGATTTACCTGCCATTCAATTAACCCAATTTTTAAGGGAAAAATGAATAAATGGAGAGGAGCATTTTGAGACTGAAGCGGGACATTATTAGCTTTTATCTTATTTTTAAACTTTCAGTTTCAGGTATAATAATGACAAGCAGACAGTTATGTAAGCAAACAGCCTCTAAATCAGGGTGCAAGCTCAAAAAATGAGCAAGCATATCATAGCAAAGCAAGGCATACATGAGAACTGCAAGTACTCAGGTGGGAACATTCTGTACAGGCACTTGCTGATAAAATCAACAGCCATATTCATATCTGCCTAATGGATCACTTGTACTAAAAGACTAATGACAAAATAGTTGTGATCAGGTTCGCTATATGATTAAAGCTTAATCGAGTTCTATAATCTCAATCTTGGAGCAACCACGGGTAGCCTTAGGAGTACCATCCTCCTGCTGGTGCATCTTTGCGAACATAGGTTTGCAGATGCTTTTAAGTTCTTCTATTTTCTCCTCAAACTTGACAGCTTCAGCAAGCAAATAGTTCCACTCCAGCCACTGGGTTATCTTCTCAATGGCATCACCCACTTTTCTCTTGTCCTTGTTATTCATCTTCGTTCCACTACCTCTTAAGGTTCCCTTAACCTCGTATATATAATTCTCCAACTTGTTTTTAACCATGGCTGCCTTCTTGCGCTCCTCATCCTCAGCCTTATACTTTTGGGCAGACTTCATCATCTTGCCAATCGATTCCTTTGATAACCTCCCACTGTGATTGGCGATGGTGATTTGGTCCTTGTTGTTTGTGCCAACAAGCTCTGCAGACACAGTTAAAATGCCATCAACATCAATGTTGAAACAGACATCAAACTGAGGGACGCCTTGAGGTGCTGGAGGGATATGCAGAGAAAATTGGCCCAATAAGTTGTTTTCATTAGCAATGGGTCTCTCACCCTCATATACTGGAAATTGTACAGTTTTCTGGTAGTCAACCGCAGTACTAACTCTGCTGATCATCTTCGTTGGGACTGACGTATTCCGAGGAATTATTACTTTCATGTTACCAAAGTATAATTGCATACCAAGGGACAGAGGAGTAACATCCACAAGCACAGAGTTCTTATACCTACACCAGCCAAGATTGCAGCGTGAAAAGCAGCTCCACACGCCACGGCCTCATCTGGGTTAATACTTTTACAAAGCTCCTTTCCATCGAAAAAATCTTGCAACAATTGCTGAATCTTTGGTATTCGGGTTGACCCACCCACAAGAACAACATCATGAATTTCACTCTTTTCCATCTTGGCATCTCTCAAACACATTTGAACAGGTAACATACAATCTTGGAACAAATCCATATTCATCTTTTCAAATCGGGCACGAGTAATGCTACAAGAGAAATCTACTGCCTCAAAAAGGCAATCAATCTCAACAGTAGTCTCTGTAGTTGAAGAAAGGAGTCTCTTAGCCTTCTCACAAGCAGCTCTCAGCCTTCCAACAGCCCTACGATTGTCACTTAAATCTTTCTTGTGTTTCCTCTCAAACTCAGCAATAAAATGGCTTAACAATCGATTGTCAAAATCTCTTCCACCAAGGTGGGTATCCCCACTAACAGCTTTTACTTCGAAAACACCCTTCTTGATTGCGACCAAAGAGACATCAAAAGTTCCACCACCAAGGTCAAAAACCAAAATATTCTTTGTCACATCACTGCTAGTACCTTGCCTATCAAGACCATATGCAATGGCAGCTGCGGTTGGCTCATTAATTATCCTCATAACATTCAGGCCAGCAATGACACCAGCATCTTTAGTTGCTTGCCGCTGGGCATCATTGAAGTAGGCAGGAACAGTAACAACAGCATTCTTAACTTCTGAACCAAGATACGCCTCTGATATCTGTTTCATCTTCATGAGAAGCATTGAGGATATCTCCTCTGGAGCAAATTGTTTCTCTTCACCCTTGTAAGTAACTACAATTATAAGCTTCTTGAAATCCTCTCCATCAGCAGTAGGAATCACTTCGAATGGCCAGAGCTTAATGTCTTTTTGTACCATTTCATCGCTGAATTTTCTACCTATAAGCCTCTTAGCATCTACGAAATTAAAGATAAAAAAAAAAA